GTCATGGCAGTTTGGGGAAAGCTGTACAGTTTGGGAGACACTGGAGTCTGAAAAAGATCTTTTAACATGTGCCAAGGCATTTCTCAGACTGTCGAGATAACCTTCATGTTCCCCTTTGTGTCTCCCAGCCAGCAGCCAGCAGCCGGGGTAGCATACACCCATCCAACCACAGTGGCCAGTTACACAGTTCATCAAGCACCAGTGGCAGCACACACTGTGGCAGCAGCTTACGCCCCTGCTGCAGCCACAGTTGCAGTAGCTAGGCCTGCGCCTGTTGCCGTGGCAGCTGCTGCCACTGCTGCCGCTTACGGAGGATACCAGCCGACCCACGCGGCCACCGATTATGGCTACCCTCAACGGCAGCCTGAAGTCCCTCCACCACCCCCACCAGTCACCTCGCAGAACTACCAGGTACCACAACATTTTCTGTAGATTCACAGATTCCAGAACTCCAGAGTCTCTTTGAATGAGGAATATGGGGAGAGATGTGCTGCCTGCATTGTATTTGTGGGCGCTCACGTGCCATAACTGCATTTGCAGAATTCCATTAACTAGTTTCTAATTGGACACTATCAGCAGGAATTAAATAAATTACACACAAGTTAATAATTCTCTCCATAAATGCTTTAAATCAGTCAAATTAAATGCAATGACTCTCAAAAGCTTAATGATGGCGTTTCAAAATGAGGACGGGAGAAACTCGATTGAGTTACAGGACGTGATTGGTTAGTTGGCAAGCAAGTGGGTCTGCTGCCAGGAAGCTGCTGTGGATCCTTAGCTTGGGGATCTTCCTACATATCCTCACCACAGTACTTGATTCTGCCCGTGAGGGAACTGTGTCGAACGTGGCAATCCTCTACCTGTGCACCCCTGGTGTGGAGACCTGGAAGCAACCAGCAGGTACCTGAACCTTTTCTGATGACAACTACTTAGCATCTGAAATGGAATAGATAGATTTAATGAAACTGTACAATTTAAACAGTCCAGTCGCTTTGCTTAACTAGTAAGTGTTCAAGCCTAGTATGGGCACCAGTTGGTCAGCAATAGTTGGCAGATCGGACTGGGCCAAGAAATGGTTTTAGATTTGGTGTAGCAGGCATGTGTGACATGTTTACGTTACTTCACAGCAGATGGCAGCACATTTATTTTTAGTTTAACAGCCTACAGACAGCTGTCATGTTACACTGCTGTCTGTAGGCTGCATGTATTCAGCCCTAGCACCACTGAGGAAATCGATTCAGCATTTAATGAATCGATATCACATTATTCATGCTAAAATCAATTTGAATAAGGAAATGGTTGTTTTTGTTTTAAACCTACCCTTATTGAGGCGCTATTGAGTGTACTATCAGGAGGACGTGTAAAATATAGAAGCTGTCTAACAAATAATAAATGCTATATATTGGTGGGGGAAGAAGGTAAATTGACTGATTTCCACCTTCGACATGTTTGTATTAATATTTCTTCTTCTTTCAACAGGAGGAAACAGAAACTGGACTCGAGCTGCGTTCATTCTTTCTGGACCTTAAACCTCTGCGGTTCTGTACATATTCTAATAGTAATGACAATAAAGTTTAACAAAATGAAGTGTTGTGGTTATTGTCACAGCTTTTGCTCTTACTGTGAATGTAGTCTATAAGAATAATGCAAAGTTAAAATGTAATTTTCTGTTTATTAATAATTAATTATTGCTTATAGCAATCAAAGATGTGTGGGTGTCGTATACAGAAATATTTTAAAAGTATGTGGGATGGACAGGAGATTAAAAACCAAATACAACGTTGACATCAAAAAGCTCCAACTCAAGCTTTTAACTGTAACGTCTTCAAACATTACAGCTAAAATCCCGGGCCGTTGTTATCAATTATCTAGTGAACATTTAGAGATCTTGTTAATTTGCCATTGAGGCAGGAGTATATATCTTATTCAAATGTATCAACATTGCCTTGTTCAGTTTTAAAATGTTATAAAGTTTTAGGTATTTTCATGAAATTATGTTGGGACGTCGCTGTGGAATTATTGAGTGAATTCTGAGAGGACAATTTTATTCTAAAACATAATACAGCCACCAGTTCCCAGGAACCGGTGGCTGTATTATGTCCAGTATGGTATCCCCAGGGATTAGCCTGTGTGATGGGGGCTACAGGACTAATTTTCACTGCCATGAACCTCAAGCAACCATTTGAAAGCTGTCATGAGTACTTATTTTGCCCCCATGACTGGTGGTTGCAGCCCTGTCTCCAGGCCTGTGTGACTGGGCCTTAATCACTTGAGTCTACATTATCAGTCATTGTCATGCATAACTGCCGTGTTTAGGACAAATTGATGTCATGTGGTTCTTGGTCACATATCTGGAAAATATTTGGGAAAAATAAAAAGCCTTCATTGGATGTAGTCCAGTAAACCACTCGTGCACCTGACTGAAACACCTCCACACAGCTCTCTGTGTTACGGCTAACTGCTGGAACCTCCCACTTCAGAGCAGCTGCCAATGACGAAGAACCACTTCCAAAGACAGAGTGAAGGTGGCCAATCTCCCCCTTGTTGCTTTTAAACAAAACGCGGCTAATAGGAAAACCAACACTTGTAGCCTGCTTTTTACCCCTCAGCTGTGAAAGGCTGATGACCTGTCCATGGTGTAAATGACACTTAGTTCATGTTTCATGTCCTGTTTAAGAGCAGACAGTTTTCATTGATGTGAGACTTAAAGTTGTGGTTCAGTATTTGTTATGAGGAGTAAAGTATTATAAGAAACACAGTAGACCTCCAGTAGAAGTTTGGAGTTGATTCTTTTCTCAGACATGCATTGAAATATAGACTGAAACAGTGGCATGAACGACGATGTCTGAGACTCTGCTCGTTTTGCAGGATTCCTACTCCTACGTCCGGTCGACGGCTCCAGCTGTAGCTTACGACAGTAAGCAGTATTACCAACAACCCACTGCAACAGCGGCTGTTGCTGCTGCACAGCCACAACCCAGTGTGGCAGATACCTACTACCAGACAGGTACACTCAAATACACATTTTTCTACCCCATTACTACCAAATGCATTGATTTGCAATCATTTTGATTACTTGCTTATTTTACTACCAAGAAACTTTGTCCCTACTTGATCTTCTGTTTCCCCTCACCCCCACCTGGGAGATGGCCTGACCTCCCCCAGTCTGGATCTGCAGGAGATTTCTTCCTGTTTTCCTTTCCACTGTCACCAAGTGTTTGCTCATAGGGCATGAGCTGCTTATTGGGCTTTTTCTCTAATATTGCAGGACGTTATAAAGGGCATTGAAGTGACCGTTAAAATTGGTGCTATACAAGTAAAAAGAATTTGAACTTCTAAAACTTTGAAACTCTTTACACACTATGTTGTTAAAAGTGTTCACTCATCCATCCAAATAATTGAATTCAGGTATTCCAAGTAATTCAATGGCCACATGTGTACAGAATAAAGCAACTAGGCTTCCAGACTGCTTCTACAAACATTTGTGAAAGACTGGGTCGCTCTCAGTGAATTCCTGCATGGTACAGTGATGGGATGCACCTGTGCAGAAAGTCTAGTTGGGAATTTTCCTCTTTCCCTCTGGAAATGAATGGGAACCACACCAACTGTGACACAAAGTGATGGGCCACGTAAAATCAGAGGGTTGAGAGGATGCCAGCATCACTGTGAACCAGTGCCCGAGGCAAAGTCCATAAAACATGGACGAGCTTGACTGGTCTGAGTCCTGACCTCAACCCGACAGAACAACTTTGGGATAAATTGGAGTGTGAGCCAGGCCTCGGCATCTAACAGTGTGTGTGATCTCACAAATGCACTTCTGGAAGAATGGTTAAAAATCCCCCCAAATACACTCCTGACATGATTTTAAATTATAATGAATTTCCTAATGAGCCAAATGTTTACAGTGAGTGATGGGACTAGACTACACACCTTAGAGTGCTGACTCTTTACAATGTGGTTTGTCTATGCAAGGCCTGCCATGAAGGTCACACTGTCACCAGAGAATGAATTGTAAGTTGACTGGTTACCACACAGTACACTGCAAATTCAGTGTCTGTCAGCCTTGTGCATTGACTGCACCCACCCACCGATGTGTCCAGGAAAGCGGCTGCAACTGTCGTATTCCTTCTATTAACCCACTCCTTAACCAGAGACGACATCATAGTGTCAAGTCCTACCCGGGAAGGGAAGTCAACGTCAGATTTATTGTTATTACTGCCTTACATATGGGACACACAGTGCTGATATATTGTCACTGTGTGGGAAGCAAAGATGTGAGCTGTGAATAACAGAGGGCTGTTGGAGAACTAAGAAATTGGTATTAATTAGTCAAATATTAATTATACAACAATGGTTACAGTGTATGTAATTTATTGGAGTATGTCCTTTACAGTGCTAATAAAGAAAAGGTGTAAGACTGGATACATAGAAATCACAGGAGCAATGCAGTGTGGAGTGGTTGCTTTGTGTTTGTGTGGGAGTGAGTTATCCTGGAAATGTAGCTGGTTCTTAGTCGGGTGGAGGAGGCACAGGGTGGTGTTTCATCTTGTCTCTGAGGGAAGCTGTGTGAGGGATGGGTGGAGGCCACTGTAATGCTGACTGCTTCGTGTGTTGGTGGGAGAGCTATCTTTACTAAACACAGCGTGGTTCCTGATCTGGAGGCGGGAGTTTCCACCAGTTTAAGATGCTTTGAATGGCACCACAGGAACACACGGTGATGACGCCCTTTGCTGCTCTCACACTGGTTGTGTTACCAGTGCTGAAAGCAGCCTGTAGATGTTCCCCTGTCAGCCATGATCTCTGACTCGTCCGACCAGTAGGCTGGACTAATGATCCACTACAGGTAAAGACACAGCAGGTTGTATCTGCGATGGAGCCTCGGCTCCTGTGGAGTGCAGTGGGAGCTCCTATGACTGTGTTTGTGTTGGTGTGGACGACAGCCGTACCTCTGCTGGGAGAGGAATAAACTGAACACGCTGATCAAGAAGGCCAGCGCCGTTCTTGGACGACCTGTTGACCCAGTGAGGTGGTCGGTGACAGGAGAATGGTGGCCACCCCATGCAGGTCAGCCTGACGGCCTTAAGTGACGGGCTGCTGCAGCCACGATGCGTGAAAGAGATGCTTTCAGCTGCTGTCATGATGTACAACAGCAGGGAATGTGAAATAACTGCTGCTATTAACGCCTAACCCCACCACGAAA